ACCACGGGTATCGAAACCCGGATTCTAGCGTTGTAAGTCTGCAGACATACCGCTGTGCCACTGGGGGGCATCATTAAATGAAGATATAGCCTAAAGATGCTTTACGGCATAACCACGTTTCATTCGCCCGGGCCCCTGGGCAGTTGTCCCCTTTGCCCCCCTGTCGGCGGACCTGGTTGGTGGTATTGACTAGCTACCTCCTTTCTTATCTGTCACTTTAAAATTAGGGACAACTAGCACAAGTAGCCCTCGAGTAACTTTTCGCAATATTAAACCAAAATAAACAAAACAAAAACGTTTTTTGTATTGATGCTATTTATTTCTCCTGCGGATCGAAATGAAAAAAGGTAATTATACAAGTTCTTTCAAGTGTTGTTGACGTAATTTAAACAAAATCCTTTGAACAAAAACAGGTATATTAATAAAATAATTTTGTTTTCTTAAGAAATACGTTAGACAGCTATCTAGTAAGGGCAAATGTTGCAACTGTTAAGTCGGGGTGAGGTTGAATGCAAGCTTATTCCATGTTGAGTTGAGTGTGAAATGTCTTATCTATTTTCCAAAGGTATAGATACAACATTTGATTTGGAAATCATTTTTAAACTATTAAGGAAAATCGCTTTCTGAATGATCACAATACCAGAATATGATTAATATATATAATCTTAATTTTGGAGAGAGTATGTTTTCTTGTAGGAAAGCCACATCAGGCTATCTGCTGGTCCACCGAGGGGAACCGAACCCCTGATCTTAGCATTGTAAATCCCAAGACTTACCGCTGTCCCACTGGGGGCCTTTTTTTATTTGAGAGAGAGAGAATTGAAAAAAAGATAAACACGAAATCGTTGACAGACTCTCACCAAAAATAAAGACAGAAAGGAAATCACTGCAAATTAAAGAACTATCGAAATTTTATTCTCTTTTGTTGAGAAAATCAGTTGACTTCGTTTTAATTCAAAATAATATATTTAGTATACATTTTTATTAAACATTAAGTTAATCAATTTCAAAAACAATGATGTCTATTTTGTTTTGTACATTTTTCCATGTTTTGTTTCACCTTTTCCCTCCAGCTTTCTGTAGAATTAAGTAGCTACCTTTTACACAATAGATACACGAGGGTAACTACTAACTAGTATGGCAGTGAATTTAAGTGAAAAGGTGTGAAGTTGCACATTTTTACCGTTTTAACATGTTTGTATTTTTTAGTTTAAGAATATCTGCATATATAGTACGAAGTATTCAATACATTTTTAATAAGAGTGTGTTATAAATATATAAGTTAAAAACGAGTTGACTTGAGGCGAGTAGTATAGTATTCCATAGGCTATTCTGATTATTGTACTACGTATATGAACATACGAATAACAATTAATAGTTTGGTCCTTTTAACTATTCTTACACGTCCACCAGTGATAAAACTAAAAATTTAAACCTACACCTTTTTTTTTCATTGATTAGTATCTTAAATTCCCGTGTAAAGTGCTGTCTTGCACTAGTATTAGTACTACCGACGGCAACTCGTTTCACGGCATAAATTAAACATACTATGTTGGCGCCTGCTGTCATTATCAATGTTTAAGCCTAACTGTAATACTATTATTCAGTAATCTAGTATATTAGTTATTACTGAGTATTAGTAACTTAGTTATTTTGGTTGATTAACCTTCAATAGCTTTTTTTTTTTTTTTAGTTATCCGTTTCTGTACTTATATGTAATTGTTAAATATCATTTGCATCTTATAATCTTTCACAGAAAGTAAAATTTTTTTAGATTTTTATAAAATTACAGTTTTTCTTAGAAAGCTGTGGTTAATGTATTATTTTAATAGTAAAATATTTAATAATATAATCTTTATATTTTTCAGGTTGAGGAATACAAAAACAAACTGAAGACTGAGGTAAAAGATTATGTAATTTGAAATTAAGGGATGACTGTAAACTGATAATGGGGGTAACATTATATATACTAATTTATTTAAGAGGTGCTGTAAACTGATAACTGGGGTAAGAGATAATGCAACCTGTTAATTCAAGTAATAGATAATTCAGGTAATGTTATGCACTAAATTGAGGTTATGTATGATACAAGTTGAAAATTGATGTTGGCTGATATTAAGGCATTGAGAAATATTATTTAAATATTGAGTTAATAATTCTAAAAGCAAGCGATGACCCAAAAATATAAAGTAATTTACAGAATTTCTTATATATTAATTTATCAGTAAAATGTTTTAAGTTCTTGGCTTGTTTAGTTACAAGAGTAGAAAATGACTGATAAGGGTGGTTTTTGATACTTGTGACAGTAAGCTGTTATGGTAAGAAAAAATTATTTTGTGATTAGGTATAAGAAAAACAACTGAAAAGCAATGTCTTTTATCATTTCATAAAAAAATAAATTGAGTGGATTGTAACTGACAGGTGGTTGATTCTTATTAAGGAGTGATTACTGGGTACCAAAACGATGCCATGATAGAGTGAAACATGTTTTATCAAAGAAAGGAATAAAACACTTCCATAAATATTCCCTTTTTTTTTTGAAAACCTGTTTGTTACAAAACCAACTCAAATCTCTCTCCGGTCTTATTCTCTGTTGTTTTGTAACACAATGCCATGAAGATCCTCATTGCTGAGCAGTTACACAGAATCCCATGTTAATCCTGAAGTAAGTGGCATTGCAAAATATAGATTTTTTTTAAAGCTTATTCTTAATTTACCTGATCTGTGTTACTAACATGTAATAACCGGACAAAGGTATAACAGGTACTTTGTCTGTGGGGTATGGTTTTTTTCTTTCCTCAGTATGTGAATGTCTTTGATTTAATAATGTTACATGTGTGATTTGTCTTTCTTTAAATCTGGAACCTGTTACCTTATTTTTTTCATTCTGTTTTCTTTGGTAACCAGTTAATGCCTTCATGCTCTCTGATATATATACTGGTCTTGTTCCAGGATTTGTGAGTACACATGTAACCAGT